CTTCATGTGCTGATTAGGCATATCTAGTCACAGAATCATAGTGTGTTTGTCTTACACTTGACATAAATGTGGGTGGATTTTTTACCATAACAATCTGTATGTAGCTTGCACACTTTTTCTCTTGCAGAATTGCTCTCTTTGCACTCAGTTTCTTCTGTTTCAAATGTCCCAGAGGGCCTTTTCACAAATGAGACTGAGATCGGTTTTTACAATTCTTGTGTTTGTTCTTACTAGCAGAGTATGCATTTAAATGTAAAATAGTTCTCTTCCCCCTTCCTATGAGTCTTGTCAAAATGTTTTTATATCCTGTAGCTCAGACTGGATGGAACTCTTAGAGTCATTTAGGATAACGCCCTATAATTCGCCTACTCTGGGTCCCTTCCTTCCAGCTTTTCTCCACAGAACGTGGAACATCATGTCTGATCTGGCCATGGTGTCACTTGCCTTTGCGTGGCCCTCTCTTCCACTTTGGGAATAGACTGATTCGCTTCCGTTTTCCAGCAACTCCATGACATACAAGCAATTGTGAACCAGCCTCACCCTTATCCATGCCTACCCGAACCTTTTTAAGTCCCTGGCAGAGTAGGATTGCTCTGTTTTGGTTCCATTCCACCACCAGTATCAAATTAAGGAAGATGGCTTTGCTGTCACTTCTCTTAAGCCAAAATAGGATCTAACCATTGCATAGGTGGAAAAGAAGAAATCAATAAATTTGCACAGCTCCTTCTGTCTCCACTGTCGAGGGAGAGACAAAAGAGGCTACAGATTATGGTTTTTTTAAAAAAAGATCCCATATAAACCAGCACCACGTTAGTTAAGTGGTAAACCAATTAAGTGATTATAACATTTACATATAAATATATATATAATTTAAATTGGAATTTCCTCCTGGTTCACTCCATTCCCCCATAGAGGGGGAGATAGGACAGGACACACAGAAGGATTTCTCTCTCTCTCTCTCTCTCTCTCTCTCTCTCTCTGTTATTTTATTATTTTCTTCCCCTTCAAAGGGAGGGACAAGCTAAATAGGGTGACTTGAGAAATGTGGATACAAGGATCATCCCAAATGGCATCCTGCACCTCAGAGCATCCTGTTTGGCCCAATCCAGCCCCAGGACACCTTGGCTATCTAGTTGCACTCTTAGTTACTGTAAGAAGCTATAAATGGGCCTGCTTTTGAAAAGTATGCACAACCTTCAACTGCCTCAGCACAGAGCTGGTTACAGGGAGCATATGACTCCCTTGTTACACCAGTGATCCTGGCTAGAGATGGGGCTATTCGTATTTGTCTATGAATACAAACAGCCCCACTGGAGTTAACAAGGGTCTGCCCCCTGGGGCCAGACTATCTATTCACTTGTCCGCCGCCACTGCTGGTGGTCTTGCTCATCCTTCCAATCAGTCCTGGAGCCCCTCTCTCTTCCTGCTCGGCTAGTGACTTGGCAGCCATGCAGGGAGACTCATCTTTCCTCCCCTTACTTGGAGTGGCTAGCCGAGCGGGAAGAGAGAGGGGTTCCGGGTGTGATTGGAAGGATGAACGAGGCTGCCGCCACTGCCAGATGGGTGAGTGGACAATCCAGCCCTGTGGGGGGCCGGACCCTTGTTAAGTACATCTGTGTGGGTCTATTCGTGTTCATATATGAATACCCCCATCTCTAATCCTGGCTGTTGTCTTGTTTCTTGGCACATTTCAAAATCCTGATTGCGACCTTACACTTAGTTGAAACCTTCTTTCTTGTAATTTGAACCCACTGGTTTGGGCCATATCCCCTGGAGCCACAGAAGGCATGTTTGCTTCATCTACGCGAGATCTAAGGAAGAACTGCATTCTTTTTAAAGTGCTCACTGACCCACCCACCCTTCAGTGATCTCTAAAACGTCTCCTGGTTTTGCCAGGAAAGTTGACCAGTCAATTGTTCACCAGACTTTCTATTCCATGCAATAAGTTCTTCAAATATTTAAAGATCGTTATCATATTCCCCACACAGCCTTCTCTTTTCCAGGCTAAACTTATCCCGTTTCCTTAACTGTTTTTCACAGGGTGCAGCTTTCACATATTTCACCATCTTGGTCATTGTCTTCTGGACATGTTCTAGCCTGTTGATAGCTTTCTTGAATCTTGCTGCCCAGAACTGGACACAATATTCCAAGGGGATCTGACCAAAGCAGAATAGTATGGAAAAATTACTTCACTTCATCTGGACACTATACTTTGGTTGATGTGGCCTAATGTTCCCTTAGGTTTTGTTGTTCCTGCTGTTTTTTGTTTGTTTGTTTGTTTGTTTGTTTTAATTTGTTTTTCTGCTGCTGCATAATATTATCTCATGTTTAGCTTGTGGTCTACTAAGACCTCTAGATCAATTTCATACAGACTACTGACATCTGTCACAAATCCTATATGCATGCATCTCATATTTTTCCTGTCTAAATGGAAATACATTATATTTTCTCTGGTTGACACTTGGTTCAGTTTAACCCATTTCTTCTATTGTATTAGGTGTCTCCCAGTTTGGTGTCACTTGCAAATTTCATGAACATAAGAACATAAGAAGAGCCCTGCTGGATCAGGCCAATGGCCCATCTGTTCCAGCTCCTTGTATCTCACAGTGGACCCACCAGATGCCTCTGGGAGCACACGAGACAATTAGATAGCTGTCTCCTGATGCCCCTCCCCTGCATCCGGTATTTGGAGGTCCCTTCCTTCTAAGCCCTTCCATCCCTTCACCCTAATCATTTGTAAAGATATTGAATAATATCAGGCTCAGGAGATAACTCGACATCACCTCTCACCCCAAGGGTGACAAGGACCTCTTGGTTAGCATTCTGTGGGTGTTGCCCATCAACCAGCTTAAAATCCACAAAAAGCATTGCCTAGCCCACATTTTAGCATCTTAGCCACAAGAATATTGTGCAAAAGCTTTGACGAAATCAAGCCATGTTATTCTGTTCATCTACCACTCTGCTAGAAATAAATGTAATATTAATCTGTCATAGTTTGTTTTGGAGAACCCTATGCTAGATTTAAGATGTAATTACATTCTTCTCTAAATGCTCACTGACCAGCGCTTCAAGATCTCTAAAACCTTTGTAGATTTTGATGTCAAGGTCACCAGTCAATGATCTCTCAGATCTTCTGCCTTCCAATTATTTTCTTTCCTTCTCCTCCCCCCCCCCTTTGGATTTGTGGGGACAAAATTCGACCATCTCCAGTCTTCAGGGCCCTCACCTATTCCCAAAGAATACTGTGAGAATTTAGATAGAAGCCACAAGATAACAGCTACCAATTCCTCAGTGTCCTTGGATACACCTCAGCAGGCTCTACACAGACTTGAATTCATGTAGATATTTGGTGCTCCCATCCCGTCTCTTATTTTTGGTAGCAGCCCCTCATTGCCTCCAGGCTGAATGTTCAGCACTTTTGTCTTCTAATTGACACCCATTAGTATTACTCCATCCTTTCCAAGCAGTGGACCTACCAATTCTAGTTTTTTTGTTGTTTTTAGGGAGATGTCCATCTCGTGTTATGTCTTCTTTTTCTGCTATCCACTTTTCTCAACATTATTTTCTTTTCCAGACAATCTTGCCTTCTCATGATGTGCCCAAAGTAGGGCAGGCTGAATGTCAACATTTTTACCTCCAGAGTTAGTTCAGGCTTGATTTGATCTGGGACTCACTTGTTCATCTTTCTAGCCATTCAGGGTATCGGCAAAGCTCTCCTCCAGCACCCCATTTCAAATGAATCTTTTTTTCCCCTTATCAACTTTCTTCATTGTCCAGCTATCACACCCATACATGGTGACTGGAAATACAAGATGATCTTAGTCTTGGGCTCCAGTGACACTTCCTTACATTTGATGATCTTTTCTAATTCTTTCATTGCTGTCTTTCCAACACTCAGTCTTCCTCTGATTTCTTGGCTGTAGTCTCCGTTTGGATTGATGATTGACCCAAGGTATATTATTAGTTTATAAATAAAGGAAACATGAGCAAATATCTTTAGATTACCAAATGTACAGTACTGAGATCATGCAACATAGTTTTCCAGTCTGTAGAATTTACCTTTATTAGCAGAAATCATCTTTCTTTTCTATTGATAGTAAAAAAGATATGAGTAGGTGGTCAGGTTATATAGTAAAATTTTCTCTGAAAGAGGCATTTTCAAATGCACGGGTTTAATTAATAATGTTCTTTTTCACAGGAAGTAGAACTAGTCCTCTACTGAAACTAGGAGAGGACATGCTATTTTTAAAATTGTCATCTCTTTTTTTGAGAACATATTGCTTCACACAGACCAGAAAATAATATATTATGGATGTGATCATGTACAGATGGAGAAAGTGCACAGAGCCTGCTCTACATTTGGTTCTGCCCAAAGACTGGGAAAAAAGAAAAACAAAGTGGTTAAAAAAACACAGGGGAATATCTTAAAAATGTTCTATGGATATCTAACCTCTTTTTCAAACAAAATAGTACCTGTTCTTGGGGTGTCAAGTTGTGGGGAAGGATAGAAATGCTAAGCACCTTTATGTTCCCAAGCAACATTATTTGCTCCTTTCCTGTCTGGCAAGTTCTGAAATCCTAAGAAATTGTTAGACCTGATACCTGTGATCCTTCATTATAATGATGATGATCAGATTGTGCCATGGGTGGAGAGACACTGAAAGAAGACTACCATGTGCTTGTGCTGCCTCTGTCTTTTACTGTAGTACATATGGTGCTGTAGCTGTTTAACCTCATGGGACGGCAAATGTTGACTAAAAGTCATCAACCATGTGCAGATTGCAGCCAGTCAAGGAGTAATCAGCTCATGTGACAAAAGACTCACAGAAGACAAGCTAGCCTCCCCATCTTCCCCTACTTCTCCCTGCAACGTGTGTTCATGTCCCTAATGCTTAATAATGATCCTGATGCATCATTTTGAACTTGTTCTCTTAACTTGCACCCTGAAATGGGCTGTTTTCCTTGACTAATTCCTGTGCACCTGGTTTGAAAGAATCAGTATGCTGGTCATCCTCCTGAACTGCGTCACTTTGGGCATGTTCCACCCTTGTGAAGATATGGGCTGTGATTCGCCACGCTGCAAGATTCTCCAGGTAAAGGCTTTGACTCTTTTTTTTTAAAAAAAAACTCATCTTACTGCCTATTAGGATCCAAAAAGAGAGGATGGTACATGGGAAGGAGCCCAGGTCCATGGAAAAGCACCTGCCCCGCAGTCCTTGGTTTTTCCTGTGTTTTGTTTTGTTTTAAAAGGTTCAGGGAGAAAAACAGGTGATTTCCAAAGCTGCCAGTCAGAATAGAAAATGCTGGGGTGTGTTCAGTGGGACTAGACAAATTTCTGCTGAGCTGACCTAACCAGCCAACCCAATCCTTTCTTGTTTAACGGGAAGCAATAAATTTTACCAACAAGTTCCTCACTGAATATGCCTCACTATACTTTGAGGGCTAGCCGTTTGAAAAGATGAGAGTAGAAGTAGTTCCACCATATTTGACAAACTAGTGAGCACTGATGGATGCATCGAAGCTGACCTTTTGTGTCACAGGCCTGGGCTAAGATGTGAGATTTTTTCCCCCCAAGATGGATTGTTATGCATTACTGCTTGGATTGGATTTTTAGTACTACTTGTGTTTACCATTTTTGTATTTTCCATTTCTCAGAGTGCCATTTAAAAAAAAAACCCAATTGTATAATTATTGTTCTTAGTACTAATAGTATCTTTTAATGATGTTAACCACAGTTGTATACTCATTGGCTTCGACTTCAAATATTGCCTTTCATTGTTGTAAGCTGCCTTGGGTCTTTTTTCAAGGAGAAAGGCAGGGTAAAATATTTTAATTAATTAATTAAAATCTAAAATTAATTAATTAATAAGATGTGATGGGTGAAAATAAAGCAAAAAAGCACAATGCACCAGATGCAGTGCATACGGGCTCATGGAGCTCAAATTCAGAAGCCAATGAAATTTGCACTTATTTGGTTTCTGAAAAGGGAGCAGAAGTCCCTGTTAACAATTGGACAAATTCTCCATGACTCATAAAAAGGGCATGCAGTCTCTCAGTTTAAGATTTTTTTAAAAGGGTGGGTAATTCACAGTTTATTGTATTCAGATCTGGGGTGGGGGGGTTGTCTATGAAGACATTCAGCCCAAAGAGCAGATACATAACCATTAGGAGGTGATATTTTTCAAATATATTCTGCACAACCTCCAAATTGGTCTCGACTTCCTCTCTCCATATTTCTACCCCATAAAACATTTGAGCCAAAATTTTAGCAACAAAAACCTTGAGGCCGGGATTTATTCGCTGACTCCCTCTGACATAAATAAACCCTCTTCAGCTGCCCAATAGATTTGACACTCGGTAAAGTAACAGCATTTAAGTGTTGTTTCCAAGAAAGTTTCTCACTGAAATGCAGACCCAGATATTGAAACAATTGCACCTGCTCAAGGGTATGTCCATTGAGTGACCAGTTATACCTGGAGTCTCTCTTCCCAAAGACGGTGATCTTAGTTTTTAAATAGTTGATTTTTCCAAGAAAGTTTCTCACTGAAATGCAGACCCAGATATTGAAACAATTGCACCTGCTCAAGGGTATGTCCATTGAGTGACCAGTTAAATGTCATCTTTGATGTAATCAAACCGGAGTAGACCCATTTGAATCAACTGATAATTGTGTGCCATCAAGTCTGATTTATGGTGACCCTTTCAGGGTTTTCCAGGTAGCATATACTCAGAAGTGATTTAACATTTATTTCTTCTGGGGACACCCTGGGACTATGCAGCTTGCCCAAGACCAAACATATGGAGAAGGTAACTCCTTAAATCCCCACTGAGTGAATGGTTTTCTTGTAGTGTCATTTACTATTCCAAGCAACAAGATTTTTGCCTGTATTTTACTGTAAGGCTACTCACTTTTCCATTACCGTTCTGGGTCTAAAATGTTTATCTTGCCAGTGTTCTTTTAAAGTTGATTTAAGAATTGGCAAGACTACAGGAGAACATAAGAATATGTCAGACAGGGATATGGAATGTGTGGGTCTCTTGATGATGATCTGAAATTCCTCTTATCAGTGCAAGGTAGGGATGATGAAAGTTGCAGTCTGAGGGTAATATCTTCCTCATCATGGTGTGGAAGATAGTGCCCTGCAGTATCATGACCGTCTTAGGATAGGCAGGATCTTATATATTTGTGGCAAGTTTATCTCATCTCACTTATTTATTTTCCAGAGCTTTGATGATTTCATCTTTGCCTTCTTTGCTGTGGAAATGGTTGTCAAGATGATTGCACTAGGGATTTTCGGGAAGAAATGCTACCTGGGAGACACCTGGAACCGGCTGGATTTCTTTATTGTTCTAGCTGGGTAAGTCAGAAAGCTACAAACAAAAAACATTTTTTGCTAACAGAGGTTAATGGCAGAGGCTAACTAACTTCTAGTTATAAATTGTAGATTATGTCCATATTTCTTTGTTTCCAAACATGTGCAAAGTAATTGAACTTGGGCAAGTCTAAGAAGACTTTACATAGTAGTTTACTTAACAAAAGATTATCTTATTCTGAGCTTCCAGTTACTTGATTCTACCCTACAACGGGGATAGTAAACATGCTGCAAATTTGAGGATTACTGTCTATATTCTGAGTGTATGTACTGTATTTATTTCACATATTTTTGAGCCACTTTTGAAGATTCCAGGCACGCTACAAATGTTTTTGAACATTTCCACTATTTTTACTTACACTTCCAGTTACTCCAAGACACTGAGACACTACAAACATCCCATTGAAGATTTATGAAGTGTCTGATAACTCCAAGCCAACATTTGCAAATTTCTTGCAAACCTGGTAGAATTTTCTGGATTTCCTATATACATGGCCTTACAAGCAGTTATCCTGAACACTGAACAGATTCTGTGTATTCACTTGAAGAGGAGGGGAAAGAGCAGTGCTCACATGAGCCTCATGGCCAGTGGCTATGTTGGGTAGGAGATTTTAGGATCTGTCGTCCCACTCCAAATTAATATTTTCTTGCTCTGAGAGGAAATAGGGAGATCTCCTTGGCAAGTTTCATCACAATGTATCATTCCCATTAACTACCCTAAAGCTTGCTTAGGGAAACTTCCCAGGGGATGGTATTCCATAAATATCACCAGGGAGAAGATAGAGCTCAGTAGTACAAACACTTGCTTTGCAAGCAGAAGATGCCCAGTAGAGACGCTGCCACCTCCTATTGACAAGGAACAGAGGTTATAGTCCCTGGTGGAAATCCTCAAGAGCTACCGTACTACCAATTAGAATAGAATGTACTGCCTCTAATGGACCAAGAATATCTGTCAGCATAATGATTGTAACAGAGTTTGTTAGAAGTTCTCTTCTGGAATATGAGAATTTCCCAACCAGTTTGTGTTAGCTGGGGGAGACTGGGAGTTTTAGTCTGCAAAGTCACTTCCCCAAGCTTTGGCCCATAAGAGAAGGGGAAAGGGATTGCCCGTGGATTTCCTGACTGAAAGAGGAAAACCGCTTGGTCCAGCCCTGCCAAGATATGTAGACTCTTCATTCTCCTCCTCCTGGAGGCTGCCCTGTGTATTCTGAGATCATCTAGGAATGCATGAGTGGGAGGAAATGTCCTTGGGCAGCCATCCACCACCATATCAGTCCCAGACACAAAGAACAATGGCAGAGGTACTGTAAACAAAAACATGACATCACCAGCAGACACTTCCCCCCCACACACACACTGCTGCTGTCTGCCTCTCCCCCCCCCCTGCTGCCAAGCACACCTCACTTGTCACATGGTGTTCAGGCAGGATCCAGGATCATCTTTGCTATCCCCTGTACCAAGTGCAGCTTTTCCTTCTTTTCTCTGCCTGCCCCACCCCGGCACTTGCAGTGTTAAGTGCTGCAGACAGCAACAACAACAACAACAAAAATGCCACAAAACCCACTTTCCTTTGTTCTCTGCCAGCCTATGCGCTGCTTTCCATACTGTAAGGCCTTTTGCTCCACCGCTCTGGGCGGACTCAGCTGGCACGCTGCTCAAGTATTTTCTCTGGCTCCAGAAATATTGGGTAGTCTCAGTTTCATGTAGATTGTCCAAATGGATGAGGTTTCAGCAAGCTTGTTTAAAGCGTGGAGGCTGGGTTCCAAAGAGGGAATATTTCAGTCAAAATGTGCGTGATTACCCTTTTGTTGCAAGGGAATGGGACCAAGCTTTTGCCTTTCATGAAGTGTTTTCCTTTCAGAGGCACCTGGTTTGAATTAAAGGCTCTTTCTAGCACCCGAGAATCTCCTGGCTGAGGCTGGAAATCCACATGAAAAAGTTCCTGGCCTGCAGCCAAAAGGGTTAAGTTTCCTTGACACAGAAAGAGCTTGGAGGCTCCCTCCTCACCTTCCTATTCATAAAGAGTGCCCAGAGTCTATTAAGGATCTGCCCCTACTCCCACACACCCCCTCCCATATAATTAACTGGAATTTCCTGGAATGGATTGGAGGAGTCTAGAAATAAACCACAACTGCAGCAATTCTCTAGGTTAGGAAGTCAGTCTCAGGAGTTCAAACATGATGCTACCAGAAGAGGTACTGGTGGCCTGGTCAGGGGTGTTGGGTGCCTGTAGAAGAGCAACAGCCATGGCTATGGCTAGTAGTGCTGCTACTAACAAGGGTATCTATAGTTAGGTGTTTTAGATTATTCAAACCATTTAAGCCATTTCACTACTTTGGTAATCCTTACCATTCTGAAAAAGAGGGCAGTGGTATATGCTTCACGTTAGTAACCATTTGGCCACTACAGAGTATAAGGACATTATTAGAGCCAAAATATTTTAAAAAGCAAAAATAGGGAGAATGTGCTAGGGGGTGCATTTGGGCACCTGGAAGGACTAAATTTTGCCTATCAATAACTAAGCGGGGGGGGCTAAGACCTCATGTTTCTAGGCCAGATTAAGCCCACCTTGACTGGGGAGAGATTGTCGAGACTCCCATGCTTGACCACCAGAGTACACTGACTCTAGTATCTGTCTTGCCAGTCCCATTATATGTGGTCCACGGTGTACAATCTCTTACACAACCCTAAAATAGCCTGCAAAGCTGTAACCTGTTTCAGTGGCTTAATTTCAGGAAAGAGTTCAATGTAATGACCTGAAAACTAGACGCCTGTGGGCAGTGGGGAATAGTGGGAGTTACAGTCAAGCACCTGTGGAGGTCACTGGGCTGGGGAAGGTTGTGCTAAGGAGGCCACAACTCTCATAAGGCCCAGCGGACATGGCCCAGTTCTCGGGGAGTGCGGGAGCTGTCGTAGCCAACAAAGTTTGAGAGCAGTGATTTTTATCAGTCTCAAAAAAAGAAAGAATGATAAACTCCAGAATGGGTCAAGCATGCTCTTGTCCCCATCCCTTAGAGCAGTGGTTCCCAACCTTGGGTAATCCAGGTGTTCTTGGGCTGCACTTCCCAGAAGCCTTCTTCTATAGCTGTGCTGGCTAGGGTTTCTGGGAGTCGTAGTCCAAGAACATCTGGGGACCCACGGTTGGGAACCACTGGGCTAGAGCTTTAAAGTGCAGTTGTCTGTGAATCTCCTCTGGAAAGTTTCTCCCTTCTCACTCCTGAGCCTGATTTGTCCAACTCCCTGGAAGACATTGTCACCAAGCAACATTGTGGGCCAACATCTGTTGGCTTTGGCCAAGCACTGAGGCTAGGATGATGGACTGTACATGCAGCTGGAAGAACAGAAGAAGACTTCCTGCTGTTTTGGTCAGCTTTACAGCTTGGAACCTGTGATGGCTGTTAACCTCCCCCCCCCAAAAAAAAACCACACACACCTCACTTTGTATTTTAGAAGGCTTTCACGGTCGAGATCCAGTGGCGGTTGTAGGTTTTTTGGGCCGTTCAAGCCAAAAAAACCTTCAGAACATGGCCAAACAGCCTGAAAAACCTACAACAACCATCAAAACTCACTTTCTCTTAATTTGTTTAAAAGGGCATAACCAACCCAGATTTGGGGTGGTTTCACATCTGCTGTGCCAAAACTCAATTAAATAAAAGCTCGGGGTATCCATAGTTACCTATATGTCAATGCAAATATTCTGGTGGATAAAAGGGATGTTCAGCTAAACTCCAAAGCTCTCGACAAACTCAATCACTTGTTACTCTAGAGGGCCCCATTGCATCATGGTAACTATGTGAATACAACAGAAGAGCCCAAGGTGGCCCTCAGGGAACCCTCTGAAGAACACGGGAGATGTTTGTATGTGTCTGTGTTCCCCTCTTTGTTGCTCTTTTTCTTCTCACCAGCGCATTCCGAGAGTCGCGTGCAAAGGGGACATGTAATTCTCCACATGTGCTAAGTTGACTGAGTTGAATCCTCGCCTAGGCTTCCCTCCTAGGCTTTCACTTGGCCAATTTAGCACAGCCTAATAACATCTGCAGTCCTTAGTTCTTGCCAGGCTTTGGGGGCCCATTAGAGTGTGCTAGAAAACCCCTTTTCAAACATACCTCTCAAAATCCAGTCTGGACAAAATCCTCCTCTGGGTTATCCCACGCTTCTGCTGGCTAATTAACTTTGCCTGCTGTATGAGAGGAAAATGACAAAGAGATTTGGGGCTGGGGGAAGGCATGAAAGCTTTTTTTCCAATAGTCACTTAAACCTGTTGTTTTAAGATCTTTCTCCTAAACGTTTGAAACTGTTTCTTTAATGGCTTTTTAAAAAATTGGATCTTGAAAAAGTTATAGCTTTGGACTGCAGCGCTGAGAATTTCCTGGCCAGCATGACCAATAGGGATGGTAGCCCAAACCATAACTTTTAAAACTTCTGCTTCTGCTTCAAGCTCTCTGTGTCCTTAAAAGGCTGGAGAAAGAAAATTTGCATGTTTTGGAGATGACGTAGGGATCAGATAATGTTTGTTACCTACTGCGTGGGTTTTTCCCACTTCTGTTTATGGCGAACAGGTTTTGTACGATAGTCTCTTGTTTGAAAACCTGCAGAAGCACTAGGACAGGAGGCAAATGGTGTATAAAAGGAATGTGTATGTAGACCACCCTTTCCCACCCTAGTATTCTCCGGATGAACTTCAGCTTACCTACTATGTGACAGGAATGATGAAGGGTGTGCTCTGTTGAGTCCGGCTATTATAAACCATGGGGAACTACGCCAGCTTTCTCCTTCAAAATATATACTCTGTCTCTCTTCAGCCACAGATGAGTCTCCCATTTCCTGCAAGAAGGTAAAATAGATCAGAACTAATAGGAGGGGTTATGTGCAATTGCCAACCAAACAAGACTAATCATAGCAACTTAGTACGATTTATTTCTCTCGTATTTATATCTCTCTTTAAATTAAACTACTGTATAATTTTTGTGGCTGCTTTTTAAAAT